CCTAGAATTCTTCATATCTAATCTCAGTGCGGGTGTCTCTTGACTTAAGTCAACAGAGCGTATTTGAATAAACCAAGGAAGGAAGTCATTCAAAACTTTCTTGAGAGTAAAGTTTTTGGTATTCACATCCGTAACTGTGTCTAGACCGACATCTTTTTTTCAAAATCTCAATACGCCTACTAAAATATTTCTTCCAAAGTTAGAGTCTAAAGTAAGAACAGATTTGACAGTGTAAACTTCCACTTTAAATGACAGCTGGATTATATTTTAGATATATTTCGGTAAATACGTACTAGATTATAAACGTTTCCACGAGAAACGGTAAGAATTTGACAAGACGAACGTTGTATTCCATATGACGCCACTACATACGTACCACCATTCAGAAAAAAAATGTAACTAAAACATTGATAAAAGGAAAGCAAGACCACCTTTTAAATAGGCCCATATAAGTGAGACCAGTGATGGAAACTCGAAGATCTGGTATCTGAAAAAATGATTATCTAATATCTTAGCTTGATATTACAAGGCAATCATTACCAACAAAATATAAATATCATGTACCTAATGGTAGATTCCTCGGCCGAACAGTTTAAAGCACAAATTCATTTAAATTATATGTAAGAATTCAGTTAATGTCTTAACACAACGGAAGCTGGATATACGTTTTTCGACAGAAGTCCATACGGGCTCATTTACAATAATAAATTTAAAATACTGTACGAACAGCGTGTAGGCCTATAGTTTTGTATATTAAGTTCTAAAGTCTGACGAATTTTACGTGACGCCTTCGTACTAAATGCTAACAAATAAAAAATAAGTATAATATCTGATATTACTTTAATTAAACGCTGCACGTAATTAGAGATATTAATATTCCGTTGGTCACTATTTAAGATGAAAATGAATTTCTGTCTTAGACGAATATAAACAACTATCATAGTTGTCATACTTTTAGAACATTATGTTTTAGGTACTTTTGTTATTGATACTATAAATTAAACAGGTAATAACTAAATGATTTTGTATATAACGGTGAGGGATGAATTTTACTTCTGAAGTCAACTGAACGATTATCTAAATTCTTGTAATTTTGAAGTGTTATAGTCTCAAAAGTTTGAAAATTATGTTTATAATAATATGAGATGTATCTGTTTTCAATATTCCATATTTACACTTGGCGTATTAGTTCACTGTCATTTTCAATAAAATTTGATTTCAGGATACGAAACGAAAGAGAAGTGAAGGTCGTTTGAAGGCGGCGTAAAGAAAGGAGTTGATAGAAAATGGTGGAAACCTTCATAGCAGAAAAGGGTGAGTATTTATATGTACAACTGTCTTTAAAACCTTTCTATCACTTCAGTAGTATTAGTTTGATTTCTTAGTGTGTTGTATTTTAATGAGTTCCTTGCTACAAAAATCTTAGAATGTGGAGGTAAACACGTGCCTTTCAAAATATAAGTCTTTGTTTACGTTTAGCACAGTTACCAATTTAATTTATTAAGTATTCCATGTTTTTTGCCTCTTTTCGTTAAATTAATATTGTGGGAAAATTATTATCAATACAGAATATTCGTCTTCAAAGCTTTTGCCTGATATATTTGTCAGAATTTGATTGACTGATTTTTCTTATTCGAACAACTGATTCAAAATTTTATACCAAAAAAACAAAATGGTAGGTGTACCTCATATTTTACTTTCTACTTTACTCTCTGCACGGGCAATGTGCTATTACAAATTTATTAACTTCTTACATATTAAAATGTAATGAAAGGATTTCACTACGAGCACGTTAATGATGACAAAGCAAAAATATATTATATATAAATATATTAAAATAATCCCCCATTTTTTCAGTTTCTACGTATTTGATACTTTCCAATTTGTAAATCCATTATTAGACATTTAAATGCTAGTATTTCGATGTTAAAATAATGTTTTACAATTAATAAACTTATTTTAAGCATTGGAAAATACATTTATAAAAACAATGTTGTCATTTATACGTCAGGCTGTAGGTCTCATTACTTATTTTCAAGATTATTTTTAAATATATAGGGACTAGAATACTTTGACCCAATTAAGCGAAGTTCCACGTAAAGAGTTTAAAATGTTTGTTCTTTAAGATTTGTCCCAAATAAACGGCTGCCCCAATTAACCGGAATCTACTGTACTCAGATTGTCGAAGTAAGTACGTATTCTCCAAAAGACATCTTATATATAACGCAATATCCTTAGGCAGTTATCAGCTGGATAACAGGGGATTGATTTCCGGTTGAGACGTAATTCTTCTGTTTGCCATTACGTCTAGACTGATTCTGATGGGTTATAAAGTGTCATAAGTTAATAGAGCTAAGTCTACTCCATGTTTCTCACATTTTTATTTATTGTTCAAGCTTTACATCTGGCTCGTAGGATGATTTTAACTGAGAAGTTTGTGAATGGTTTCGAAGTAGAACCAGCGAGGTCAGTGGCTTCAATGCGGTCTCTAGAACGACGTAGATGCTGGGTGAATTGCGTGGTTCAGACTGCAGATCTCAATGTTTATAGATTAAATGACGATGCACTCGGAAATGTTTAAATCTGTTGGATGTTAATTGTAACTTGAACACGAGGTCTGCATGATATGAAATGTAATTTTTATTTGTTACACGTTGTGTCAAGATATCAATCTTGAAATTGTATTCTTTGGTGAAATTTTAGATATAATTTATTTTCTGAGGATTCTAGTTTAGAAGTATTAATTTTCGTGTTTAGAATTAGGCTTCAAATTCTTTGTTATGGCTTAATGATACGTAGTGGAATGTGTTACGTCATCGGAGCTTACCGTTGTTAGTGGGGAAAGGCTGTTCTTGTAAGGTACAATTATCTTATCCAGTTTTAAATTTGAAGAATTTGAAAATGAAGAGACAATTTTTTTGATTAGATCAGGCGTGGATATTATTTTAAAGATTTCCTTCTTTTAGCTCTCACATCGATGAATCACTTGTCTTTGTCGAAAACGTTACTTTTTGGATAAGAAATTGATCGTAGGTAACTTCGCCTCCTCTGTTACAGAGACTTGTCTTCTCAAGACCGCCATTACTAGAGTGAACCCCGCGTTATATTACTGTATTGAGTATTTTGCAAGTCGATAGTCGATTTTGAGTTTTTGTTCGGTTTTTACATTGACTTCAGATGAATTTGGTTGTTCAACAGACGATAGTTGAACTCGATCAGTACCTGGCAACAGGTATATTACCTCCATTCCCTCTATACGCCGTTATTACGTGATGATTAGGCTCTGGGATAACTTCAGTTTGATACTTTTTTAATAATACTGATTCTGCCACAGTTATTTATTAGAAATATTGAAATTTATAGCAAAATAAAAGCTTTACACTTTATTTAACGTCGTTGTATCAGGTGATAAGTCTAAATGATCGTAATCAGGTTAGTGGAACAAATGGTAATCCAATGCCCTAATGGTAATATAGATGGTGGCATATACACACGGATTAATTAATTCTGTGCTGTAGCTAAATAGTGACTCATCATCTCCCGATTATAAAGCAGAAATCTGTATTACCTACAGGTCATAAGTTGCACTGTTTGTCTGCTTGTTCGATAGGGGATGTCACAAACAAAGAATCGAAGTCTTTTCCTGCCAGATAGATGGTGAATTGCATGTCTCTATATTTTGGAGTCTGAAAAGGATTTATCTACAAACGAAGATTTTATTTTATATCAAATGAATAGAAATAAGATTCTATCATGTTATTTATAAAGAAAGAGACTTTAGATTTCTGCTCAATTTTAAATAGGACCATCACAGTCTTACATTTAACGGTTCGCATATCCTCTGAGAGGTTTTTATTATATTTCTTCCATGGTAAGATTTTATATTACAAAATTATCGAATTAGAAGATGGCTGTCTTCTGGGTTATTCTGTTAAGTAGTCTGGCCTAGCTACTTATACGTACTGATTTTCACATCGACTAAGTATTCCTATCCTAATTGTATTTGTTGTGCGTGCGGTGTTATCGGGATTCGTGTCAAACCAGTTTTGGAAATACTGCTACAGTTATCACTAACAACAGTGAAAATGTAATAGCCTAAGGTTCTTGAAGGACGAGTCTCTATTGCACACACTCAAATTGACTGTCTGAGGATTGGGTGACCTGGTATTTACCACCGCGACGTTCAGACCACTTTCGTGGCCCACCTGGACTTCTAGTGGGATTAATAGACCCATATTCCTTGGGGCAAACCGATAGGAATATAAAGATGACAGCGCATTTAAATACATTGCCGAGGTTAAAAATATATCCATTTTTCGATACGTCTTCATGAAGTTGTGCTCAGTTATGGCAATAGTTTTATTTTTGATTTTCTTTAAAATATTTAAAGACGTGACTATTTTCAAACGGTTCTGTAATACTTTATTATAAACTGTATCAATAATTTTCTTTCTTCATTAGTATTTGTCCAGCATGTGCAGAGTCTACGTTTTTATCTCTCTTGGAGGATTGATCTGTTTTTTTTTTTTGGACAATGATAGGACTCCTTGGATGAGTGATCAGCCTGACGCAAGGCCTCTACCTATACAAACACAGACTCGAACCCACGGTCGCGCGTGGTCACTGCGCCGGCTAAACTGTTTCAATAAATTAAATTTTTGAAAGGAAATTCTAATGTTTTAAGTTATTATAGCGTCTGATTAAGGATTTTGATTGTTAATACGAGGATTTTGTTATATATTTCATCTTAAATTTAGAATGTTCCAGTCCTATCATAACCTCCTTGTCCCAGCGGAATGGGTTGGGTTCTTGAAGGGTGGATAGTGGCGGAGGAAGAAGGGGCAGTTGGTATTGAAGGGGAAGGAGAGAAGAAAAAGATGAAATGAAAGAGAAATGGAGAAAGTGGTGGCTTCAAAACAAGAAGAACATGACAGACAAAGATCTTCTCTTCGGAAGGCCGTCCAGTTTGGCCAGCTAACGTGCATATATGGCTTGATCAGACGGCATTCGTAGTCCAGGCAGACATGAAATGAGAAGCTGTACAAATGTCCATAGTAGCCTAAGTCACTCATTCTTCTTCGAAATTGATATTACATCCTGGCAACCTGAAACGCGCGCTTCCGTATGACTTCGATCAATGATGACGTCATTGTGAGCACAGCGCTTGCCGATAATACAGTAATCTACTTAAACCGAGCACTAATTCGTCTATTTAAGATATTAATGTTTTAGATAATCTCCTTAACAAGTTAATTAACATCGATACCATAACCATGAAAATAAATCGCTGTATTGACTTAAGTTAATATTTAGGAAATGTTACTTTTTAGTATTATTTAGGAGCAGAGTTCCTTTTAGGAAACTTGTAGTCAATTGAATAAAAATTTACTTGGATTTTATCCATCGTCTAGTAAATATAAAACGTAAAACGACGTTTCGGAGATAGGGAATAGCTCTATCTAGTGGGCCCAACTGTGTAGGAACCTGAAGACGGAGATAGAGTCCCATCTCCGAAACGTCGTTTTACGTTTTGTATTTACTAGACGATGGATAATATCCAAGTAAATTTCTATTCAATTGACTCTTCACTATCGTCAAGAAGTTTTAGATTTGATAAACTGGTAGTCGCTTAGCTTCTTAAGAATTTTTATGACACTCGAAGTTTAATTTTCGTTAGATTTTCCTACTACAATTTCTATATGTAGGCCTGTGCAAATTTTATCTGCCCCATACGTGTTACCTATCGTATAATCCATGACTTGATAAACCTATTGTGGTTAATAACACAAATATGTTGTTAATTACGTGATTTTATCCAACCTCCCGTGACTTCCTCCGACTGAAGGAAAATTAAACATTACGAATAAAATGTATCCGAGCTTAATAGACATGTCTTTTACAAAAGAAGGTATTATTCGAATTACGAATTTAAAATCGAGTCTTGTGGTATGAGAAACGTGACATGAACTGATTTACAAAAAATCAAATCTGATTTTCAGAGGGAAATTGTGAATGTGTCTCGCATTTCTTAATGTAAACCTCTTGTTATATCAATTTATCATTTCCTTACATCAGAAACATTCTTGACTCTGGATACCAAATTTACTAGAAAAATGTTCTTTCTCCTTCTGCGGGGTTACAAACTGGATTCCAAGATCATTTGTCTGTCGTGTCAACATTGACAATATCAGTACAAGAAAAACGATTCACGACATTAGCTTTGAAAATCTAAGCTTACTCTTTTTATGTGTAATTTTTAGGTTTTTTAACTTCAACGTAGCCCTGCTTAAATAGTTTCGAAGCCAATGAATTTTTTGTCTTTAGAAAATTGAGAAGTGATTTAGTCTTATTTTACAGATAATTATCGATTAAAATAAAAGTATTGTAATGTTACATTCAAATTACATATAAATGCAATTTTATATTAGATCGATCGTCTTTCTAAATTACAACGTTCTTTAATTTTTAATATTGCAATTTAAACCAGGTAAGACGTTTTGTAGTATTTTAACTTGATATCTATATAACGTATTTGAACGCTGAAACTAAAATGATGGAATATATTTAAATCGTATAGACGTACACATTAGAAGATGTTCGACACATTTTCATATCGAGAATCTATATTTTATTAGAATTATATTCTAGTCCCAATTCTGAACGAAATGCTAGTCTAATTATTAAGAATTGAATGTATATTATTTATATATAATCCAAGTACTTATCCGAATTCAGTACAGTAGACTATTGCTATGAAATTATCTAAATATTACAGTTGTTTCCATAAAACGTGCTATATATTTAGGTTCATAAAATTTTTAATCGATAAGATAGCTTAATATCGATATGAGCCCATAGATACGCTATGTGTATTCACGTCATCTAACGAATCGAGAAATTTATATTAATGTCAGTGAATTTACGTATTGCATTTAAAGTCTTGTACAGAAAACCCCTATATCCTGGACACCCCTTTATATTGGACACTTTTAATTGGAACCGGCGAATATCCTATAATTTTACATGTCCACAATACCTTATATCTTGGACACCCCTTTATCCTGGAACTTGAACACCTCTTTTGTTGTAAGTTGGACAGGTTCATGCACTTAACTTCGATGCTTTTGAGGGAAAGTTTTTCAGTTGCATATTTTGTTATTTTGAATTTCTGACTGATGAATGCCTCCTCTCTAGAGGATTGTCTTATGGACGTTGAACCCAGCATTGGAATGCATTGCAAGTGTTTAACCATTCTTTTGCTGAACCCTTAACTGGACTACACTATTGCAGAAGACACAATTTTAACTCCGCTTGCATTTGAGTTCAGACTGTGTTAACAAAAATGGAATTTTTGTTTTTGCGACGGGGAGGCGAAAATTAGTGGAATTAACTTTAGAAAATGTTATTGAGGCTGGGGGTGTAATGGGCAATGCATGGGAGTGGGCTTCAAAAGATTATTATTAATACTATTGTCATTAATTCTTAATTCAAGTAAGCCTACAGTAGTTAGTGTATGTAAGTAAATAGACCACAATCTGATTTTTATCTTTCTCTGTATCTTGGACACCTCTGTAAGTTGGACACATTTTCGTGGAACCACAAGTGTCCAACTTAGAGAGGTTTTACTGTACTAAATATTATCTGATCTTGAAGTGGTCGGAGGAAAATATAGTATTGATCTGCTTTGGGAGAACGTAATTTAACACATAAGCTGAAACAGAGTCAGAGTTTTATACTGATCTTATCGAAGAAATCTTAGAAATAAGTCATTTACATAAGTGATCCAATATCTTTGAAGAGATTTTTGTTAAAAGTATACTGATATTTTGAGCCAAATGCAGGGATTATTTATGTACGATCTTAAATTTTTTTTTGGCAGATTTCTTCTACTGTTTATTTAATTATGATATATTTAAGGAAATTGTGAACATTTAAAATTGTATATTATCGTATGGCAAGATAAATAATGAATAAATGATTTGAAATAATGTAGAAGGAAGCAGCCGTGGCCTAATTTAAATACCTATCATGGAATTTACCTGGAAAGACTTAGGGAAGCCGCTTAAAAAAGTTAGTCGGATAAACCTGTCGCTTGGCAGAGATTTGAACACGTTATGTCTCAAATACAGTGCAGGAATATTTATCATCCTACCTCGACGTTTGGTGTGACCAATTAATGAAGAGTATTACAACAAATTGTGTATTAAAAATATATTAAAATTAGCCGTCAATCACAATACAATATAATTAAAAGATTAAAATATCATTTTACGTTCCCTATCGAGTACTCGATTTACATGTGGAACATACACGACATGTTTCGGCTATATATAGCCATCATCAGGTGTTATGTATATAAACTTTTCACTGAATTACTGATATTTTACTGATTTTTAATGTTTTTTAGTTTTCATTTTTCTTATGATGTTCTTATCCTTGTCAGTAATTCAGTGAAAAGTTTATATACATAACACCTGATGATGGCTATATATAGCCGAAACATGTCGTGTATGTTCCACATGTAAATCGAGTACTCGATAGGGAACGTAAAATGATATTTTAATCTTTTAATTATATTGTATTGTGATTGACGGCTAATTTTAATATATTTTTAATACTATTTAAATAAATCACAATATGACGCATCTACAATATCTAACAAATTGTGTTTAAATCCGAGTAAATTATTCAATCTGACTCACATAATACTCTCTGAAGCAATATTTTGTGTTCTTTACAACATAATATTATGAGATTAAAATGGCTGTCTTGTGGGTTATCGTACCTTGTAGTCTAGTAAAAGCTTACTGACGTCTCATAGGCGATTGCTTGATGATAGAGGCATCTCTGAAACGTCCGTAAACTTATACCACGGTGCTACAAATTACAGAATTGGCCAGAAGCAAACAGCATACAGATGTAAACATGTCATCATTGGTCTTCTGATTCTTAACGCCGCGTAGAATTTCAGTTAGATATCGACGTTTCGGAAGAACACTGCCTCCATTTAAAGGGATGAAATTGAGACAATGTTTTCTTCTGAAACGTCGGTATCCATCTATAAGTTGACACGTGGTTACAACCAAGAATATCAACACGGACATTTGCCGTGAGAACTTTAAATTTTACATGCAAACAGATTTAATTTGCCTGTTTTTTATGAGAGAATTGAGTAAGGCATTATTTTTCTGTTAGACTAAATGTTTCAAATAAAAGTCTTTATGTACTCTACTGTAAACTAGAATGCAATAATGGTTTACATTATAGAGGATAATGCATGACTATGGAAGAAACTGCTTGGATGTTGATAATTTCAAAGGCACACATAAGATCAGCAATATTGTACTTTAATTGTGAGGAACTTTAATTTCATTTTAGATTTTACTAATTGGCTCGGATGTGGCTGTCATATATCTATAGTCGTTTTACCACAGTGTAATATTACGCACATGCTAGAAAGACAATGTACTTTCAACTCCATTACATCTAACTTAAAATACGAAGCAGAAATATTTTCTGCCTGGAATGTTCCTCTCGATAATTCGACGATTTGCACTTAAGTCAGCTGGGTCCAAGTGGCACCAGATGGCATTTGCGGACGTGCAAAGATATTTATCTACACAAATATCATACTAATCTAACACACTCACCAAGACTTTTTCATTATCCATATAATAATAAATAGATCCATTGGAATAGGAATTTAGTAAACTTATCTAATATAAATAATACACATTAATCGTTTCTGTTTATACAAGTCTCTAAATATTAAATTCTTCCCTGAATGTATTCTGAGCCGAAGTTTAGGAGCAGGGGAAGGCCCCAAAAACAACATTGGCCATAACAACCAGTACCCCCTGTCCGCTTCGACTCAATATTTTGATTGACAATGAGGTATGATATTAGAATATATAATATAACATGTTTAAAACGAGGGTAGGAGAATGTAACGCTACTGACTGTAAAATATTTCTCCTCTAGTTTAGGGATGCCAGTTCCGATAGATTGGAACTGACGAAAACAATGTTTGTCATTCTGTCGGTCACTTTGAAATCAAGTCTGTCGGTACAGCCGTCTCACAGGGTAATTGTTCGCGAAGATGTCTGTCGAACATTGATTGTACTTCTGTCTCTGAAACCCTGAGTTTGTTTTAAGGACAGCTTGGAAGTCATTTTAGGATAAATATATATATGACATGAAATAAGATAGGAATCCACGAACACTGCTGTTTTTTGTCATCCAAGTCAGGAAATTTTCAGATTTTTTTTTTTTTTTGAGCAAGCTAGGCGATGATACAGTGGGGTTCCCAGTCTATGAGAGATCAATAGGAACTTTGAAAACATCACCTCATATTTTATTTTGCAACAATAGTGTGTCCTTCGATAAACTGGGAACCTAAAACGGACTTGACTCAGTCTTTTAAAAATGTTCTTTTTGATGATGTATGGTATTCTGTGAAATATACCAATTCATCAAACAAAGGGGAAAAAAAACACAATAATACACATACAGACACTTTGGAAACTAAATCACAGGTGTAGCTTTCTCCGCCATTTTGATAGGCTTTAACGCAAAGTACAATTTATATTTTGTGATTTCCTCGAATGCTAAGCTGGCGTTAGTGTAAAGGAGACTGTTAAGGGCTCGGATAATTTCTCTTTGACAGGGAGAAATACGAGTGAAGGAACAAACTTCCGGTCCAGTTGGAGTTGTTCAGAACTTCGCGATCCATTGGGTTCTTCCAGAAGAAACGGTTGCATGATGAATTGATCCAAAAAAGGCGTTTGATTTTGAGGTACGGCGTAAGAAGCTGGGACCTGAGACGTTCTAACTGCCTCTTGTAACTTTTTCTTTACTTCATCCGTGGCAAAGTCTTTTAATTCTAATAACTCCTCTGTTTCTGGTTCTTGCCGTGTTTCGAACTGATTGATTTCAGACGTGTGATCTTTTCTGATATGCTTCTTCACAATTACCATATGTAGTGATGAGAATCCGCAACAAGTGCATTTATATAAACCATTTGGAGTTACCTTGATAGCAGTTGTCTCAACGGAACTGGAAGGTACTGTTTCGAGGTTGTCGGTTGAATTCGAAATGTGCCTGTTTTGTATATGCGCCAAGCAATTTTCTCGAGATCTGAAACGTTGAAAACACTTCGAACACCTAAACTTGTATCTCCCCCCACCAGTATTGCTAGTATCTTCTTCGATAACTTCACATTCGGACTTGTCTTCTGTCTTTGTACGTTCTACGTTTTCGTCATTCTTTGGAGACTGTTGTTGAACAAATTTAATTTGTTCTCGTAAGTTCCCAATTTGGGGTTGATAAGAGGCTAGTGGAGATGGGCCAGGGAAAGGATTTAACACGCCTGAGAACTGATGAGTCAAGACGTGATGTTGGAATACGTCGGCCTGGAGGAATCTCTGAAGACACACGGGACACTGAAAAGGTTTTGCTGGGTCAGGCAGCTGTTGTGTTGGTAGTCCTGTATGGGATCTCTCATGGATAAACAGAAAAGCTAGAACGGGTGTCGTAAATGGACAGTAGGAACAATTATAGCTTTTTAATGACGAATCTCCGGTACCAAAAAGACTTGCTAAAACGTGATGTCCACCTGTTTCGACTGTTCCTTCCATAGGCATCATGGCGGACGGTCGTGATGATCGATGATGATCTTGAGTACTCCAACTGTTTGGTATCTTCAAAGTGGGACTGTAAGTGGGCCCTGGAGGGACAGATGAATGATTTATTATCCCAGAGCTACTTATTGTCTGTAACTGATGTTTTTCTTGTTGGGAAATTAATTGATATTGATTTTCCAAATCTTTCCATTTCTGTATTCCATTCTCACCGTGATCGCTTAAGAGATGTGCCTTAAGCCACTTTGTACTTCGAAAGCGGCGATCGCATATTGAACAAACTTCAGTGAAGTGACTGAAATATCGGTGATTCAGATCAGTCAATTCGGATGGTTTCAAAGCCTGATCAGGTTCTAATTGATATTGCACGTTGGGTCCATTGGTATTGTCCCTTGAGGTGTGGTTCATGGACATGTCTTCAACAATCCCATGGAGTTTTTGTTTGTGAACCCGGAGAAAATACTTGCTACATAGTTCCTTGTTGCAGATGTCACATATTACGCCACCGATTTGTGCCCCGTTTTCTATCTCAATGCCATGCATTCTTTGCATGTGAGTCTTCATGAAGTATTTATTGCACAGTCCCTTGTTACAGATTTTACAATAACTGCTCGTTGGTGTCATAGAAATTTGTTTGTCTGATCCCACAATATTTACAGGTGGAATATGAGTCTCTTGTGGGGACTTACTGTCTAACTCCTCCTTAATCAAGCTGTTAATCATCGTATTCGATGTAGTTGCTCCCGTAGAAACAGGACAGTTGTTATGAAATTCTTCGACGTGTTGTTTAAGTTGATAATGGGTAAAGAAGTCTTTCTTACACGAAAAGCAATACGTCTGTGTGTCTATTAGAGGAGGTATGTCAGTTTGTTCCAATGATGGATTTTTTTGTTTTTCATCGATATTTTGAGTCTCCATTAAAATTCCGTGTTCCGTCATCATATGTGCTGTAAGGCAATAATGATTTTCAGATACTTTGCTGCAAATTTTACAAGTGGTCATTTTACTTACATTGAGATTATTCAATTGTAATATCATGGTTTGAAGTTTTTGAAGATCTTCACTAATGGTGTCTTTTCCATCGTTACTGTTACCGACATTATTATTATTGAAAGATACAGTTTCACACGTAGATTCAACTGTCTTTTTAGACAAGTTTTCGTCACTGCAATTAGCTTTTACGTCATCCTGAACTTTTTCATCGAGCTCGGTTAAATCTGTTTGTATGCCTCTCCTCTCGAGTTCGGAAACGTGCAAATATGCTCGATGTACCTGCATCAGATAGAAACTTTGAAACCGCCGTCCACAGATATCACATTCTGGATCATCGCTGTCAGAGAAATCATTTCGTATTTTCTCACCTGAATCTGAACTATTGGTACTTTGCTCACCTACAATTAAATTCAATGGACTCGTCTGATTGTGACTCCATGGAGTACTGCTGGTACCCACGGCCTTGCCGTCACCGTCTGAAATATATATTCCGTGTCTTTTCATCTTATGCGTCCTTAAGAAATATTTATTACAATATTCCTTGCAACATATCTCACAGAACGCATCGGCATTAATGACACCTAACTTTCGTAACTTGTCTGAAGGTGATAACGCGATATCTTTGGAATTTTGTTGAGATGGAATCGGAGAATTCTTGATGGATTTTATTGAGGTATTTTCGATACATTCTCCAACGGAACGCCCATCCTCTGATTCTTGTTCAGATTCTTCTTTTACCTTTGATGTTTCTGCAGATTCGTCTGTGATGGAGTTTGCTGGACTGCGTTTTATTTCCAAGTCCACACGAAGTTCTTGTACCTCAGAAATGTCGTTGGAAACTGCCTCTACGACGATGGACCCGGTATCTGAACCGGCAGATGCACTACCCCGTTCCTCTATATCTAACTTTCTAATGCTGTCTGGTAGATTCAAGAACGTTGCATTTCCTGACGGTGTTAGTGTTTCGTCATCAATCCCATGAATTTTTGCTTTGTGGCGTCTAAGAAAATATTTGTTGCAGAATTTCTTTTGACAAATATCACAAAATGCTTTCGTCTGTCCGTTTCCAGATATCTGGTTCATGATCACAGATTCGGATATTTTTGGAGTAGCTGTAAGGGTTTTGAGGTTTGGTGTCACTGGCGTGGGTGGTGTAATTCGTGAAATATTTAAATTACTCTGAATCAATGGAGTTTGGTATTGGGTTGCAGGAATTACGGCACTACCAATTGTCGTTATAGGACCATCGACGTATATGCCATGTTTATTTGCTTTGTGGGTCTTCAGAAAATATTTGTTGCAAAATTCTTTATTACAAAGTTCGCAAAACGCATCTGGATTAAATATGCGTATTTGAATTGTATTGGGAGTTTGGCCTTGGGGTTTGGTGACTGAGGAAGTTGAGTTAAGCCCTGAATTTTGTGAGATGATTGGTAAAATCAGATGTGGCGCCAATGGCATGTAACCAGGTACAGATATTTTATTATCAACAAAGGTTCCAAAATTTCCAGAATCTGAAGTCTGTGGTAATGCTACTGGTGGTTTGGTCCCATACATTATATCATTAGATTTATTTCGGAACTCAGACATTAGAGAACCCATTACGAAATCTGTAGGTGAAGTCGAATTTGTGGTTGGTAAATGGGAAAGGTTTAGTGGTATTTCTGCCTTCCCGCTTAGTAAATTATCGAAGCCTACCGTGTGTTGTAACTTACTTTGAAAATATCCGTCCTCAGTGTGAAACTTGAGATGTTCACTGGAGTGTAAAATCTCTGGACAGTAAAGGCATTGTGAAGAATTATGATTGTGTATCTCAACCAGATCCGAGTCATTTTCGGACGTGTGATTCAGTTGTAGTTTCGTATCCTTATGGGTTGAATTTGATGTCACTTCACTGTGAATCTTACCTTCACTGCTGGCTTCAACTTCGTCTTCACTGGGTGGTTCTGTGAGCGAAAAGAGACGAACTGGTTTCGATTGTTTCCGTCTTTTCTTGGCCTGTGATTGGTCGGGTTCTGTCGGACTGTCCTGAAATGGACGCTTACAGCTTGGAGTTTCGGTGACGTTGTCCAGCGCTTTGTCCTCGTAATGGTGGTGTTCTGGTTCGTCACTGGAATTGGATGAATCTTCACAGTAGCTGTACACCGTGTCTTTGATTCCATTTCCCGTTGCAGCAGCAGTTAAGTCAACAACGGCGGAAGTCATCTTGTCGTGTGTGGTGTTATCGTCTTGAAGGTTATACACTACTGTTGGTCTTCATGCATAATGTTGGTTACAGCCCTGTAACAAGCATCAATATTAGAAAAGCCAATGTTGAATTTGCTTATTTATTTATCAGTTATATGATACTTGTAAGACTTGAGGTTCTCACAGCGGTGAATATGAAGATTTCTGTCTTCTGGGTTATTGCGCTGTGTAGTCTGGTCGATGTTAACCAACGTTTCAGAGGTCATACTGCCTCCGTCATCAGGGCGATTCATCGCCCTGATGACGGAGGCAGTATGACCTCTGAAACGTTGGTTAACATCGACCAGACTACACAGCGCAATAACCCAGAAGACAGAAATCTTTATATGATACTTTTTTAACAACTGGATCTAGGGGTTAGAATATCGCTGTAAGTATCAATGTAAAGTTCATGGGATTAAATTGACTTTAGCCTACGTCACTAGCTTCAGGGATGGAATGAAAGCAAAAGAATGTAGAACCAAAGATATTTAAAGAAACAAACAAATAGATCGAGCTAAATATTACTGTCTCTGGGATATATTTCTTACTGTAGGACAGTACCTGATCCTTATTTGAAACCCCTCTTAAATCTCTTAAGGGTACTCGTCTCGAATAATATATTTCTGAGATTTTATTTAGAAATTTATTTTCTCCTAGCTTTCAGCTTTCGTCTCCGTCTGCTCCGGCTTCATCAGACCCTAAATAATATTCGAAATTGTTAAATAAATCTCTAATTTTATTTATACCTATAATGATGACATCGTATTTCTGAAATGTTTATCATTTCCTAAAGTTTTTTTTTTTTACAGAAGGTTGGAGACAATTACACAATTAGGAACTCTGTAATTTGTACTCTTCGAAACTATTATTAGTGTTATCAGATCAATGAGGATGAGACGTAGACAGAAAAAATAAATTCACATTCAGTAACATCATTTCGTTATGATCCATTTTAATATTATCCTTCCATCTGCCTCAATTTTTCCGTGTCGTCTCTTCCCTTCAGGCTTTCCAACAAAAATCCTACCGTGTTGTGGATTTGCATATGGAGGTACGCCGTTCGAATCTTGTTAAGGTTGATAAACGATAATAATAATAATAAAGTGAAGATATTCGACAGCTTTCTTTCTCACTGAGATGAGTAGGAAGATGGCTGCCTTATAGGTTGTAGCGCCGTGTAGTCTGATAGAAGTTTACCGACGTTTCAGAGGTCATTGCTGCCTCCGTCATATGGGTGATAAGTAAAGTGAATGAATGAGTTTACAGTCGCCCTAATTATGGAGGCAGCAAGGATCTCTGAGACGTCGGTAAACGTCTATGAGACTACACGGCGCTACAACACAGAAGACAAACTATTTTTATCGAGTATTTCATAAATACCTCCAGGAAATCGAGAATGTTTAAAAATATATTTGTATAACGAATCAGCCATTCACACAAGCCGTTGGAGAATATTTTATCTTAGTCTTAGAAGGAAATGTGACAACATTTAGCTTTTATTAGTCAGAAATTAATTTATTGTTTCGGATTCCACCTTCCAGGTCTTGTTAACTTCCGATTTAATCTGATTACTGCCCTGAAAGTCGCCAATAACAGGCCGAGTGTAGTCGACTTAAAATATACCAATCGACCATAGATGATCGTCTTCATCTAGGCTCCGATAATACAGCGATAATACGTGTGACTCGTATGTAGACGGTAAGTGTTTCGAATCCCGTCATAAAACAGCAATCCTGACTGATAATCCAGGAAAATGTATTAGGAGCTCTGAGTAACCTTTGTAGTTCATGAATCGTCATTATATTTTCCATGCGATAAATGGTTTAATTAACGAGTCAACAAATTCATTAATTTTTTTTTAATTACATGATCGAAATCTTTATAACATTTCCCTCAGTATTTTGTTAGTAATTTGAGAGCGAATTTATACAGAAATGCAGTATTAAACTCCATCTTTACAAATCAGTAGTAAATTGAACATATTTTGATATATTTTAAGTATAATCATGAAACAAAACTTTACAATTTGTAATCTTAACTAAAATTTATTTATTATTGAATTAATAAGAATGAAGCACGTATGATTGTGAGAAATTTCATTTTTCCATTTTAATATTATTATGTTATCTATACCTAGGTCTTCCGTGTTGTCCTTTCTCTTTAAATTTACGAGTTATAATTTTATATTCATATATCATCTACTAAGTGTCTAGCCATTCTTATTCATCCAGATTTATACAATAGTTCATCTTGATTATAATATAACGTAAATTTAAGTATTTGCCATACATATCAACTAACTCATATTATGTAGTACAAACGCTAGTCCACTAAGAATCGTATTTTCATGAAAATATAAAAATCTGTAATGATAAAATTAGTTACAGAGCTTTAATATTTATGAAATATAAAATATTAATCAGTTTAAGGTTTACATGCGTCATGTTTGTGTTTTTGATTAAAATATATAATAAAATTCAGGTCAATACACAAAACTTTATTTGGATGTTAAAATTTAAAATTTAAATGTTAAAATTTTAAATTTTAAATTTTAACATTTAAATTTTAAATTTTAACATCCAAATAAAGTTTTGTGTATTGACCTGAATTTTATTATATATTTTAATATTAATCAGGCTTACTTAATTGCCTGAGTGTGAAGTAAAATAGGTTTTTTATTTGGAATTTATGTATTGATTTAATTTGTTACGAGTTATACTGAATAAAAACGTGTTTTTCTTCAGCAAATGTGTGCAAATGCTATTTAAGTGTTCAGAATGAAGTACATCTGCAGTCCTCTGCCATAATTTCCTGTTTACAGTGCAAAATTATTTATCATCCACATAACACTCGTGGAAAAATTATGACACGTGAATATAAATAAACAGAATGAATTATTGATACGTAAACAGTACCGACCTGCTTTTAGTACAGTAATTTCCAAACACACAACATGATAATATGTACCTATGTTTTACTGGGTTTGTCAGTTGAAGGTGAGGTGTTAAGATAAAACAACAGTATAACTAATGCGATAGACACAATACAAATATGAGGGAACATTAATTAAAACAGGTTTATTTCTCGTGGAACGCACAAGATTTTATTGTGTGTACTATACCAGCTTCATCTGGATTCGAAGTTATATCTGATTGGCTTAAATACTGAGTGAATTTTTACTCAAATCTAAAACTTCTTGACGATGGTGAAGAGTCAATTGAATAAAAATTTACTTGGATATTATCCATCGTCTAGTAATAAAACGTAAAAAACGTAAAACGACGTTTCGGAGAT